AAGTCGTCCACCTGAGGCACCATGTTGTTATTACCTGTCTTTTTTGTGTCCTACAACAAACAACGAAAACATAAATCCAGAGGAACAAAACAGGTGAGCCATGCATTGCGTGCCACCACCATGCTGGCAGAATCAAGAATTACGCCTTTTCGTGCATATGAGCGCACACATTTGCCTCTGAAAGTGAGGGGGGAAAATTCACTGCTTTTCACGCCCGCGCTCGCACCGTCGTTGAGAGGCAAACATCTCAGACGGTCTCCTCGTGACCGGGTGCCTTTGGGCCGCCGCCATTTCACAAGCAGGCGCAGCGGCTTCAGTAAGCAAGAGAAGAGCCCCAGCCCTACACACGAGTGGAATTGGAACACGCACACACAAAAATGGCCACAATAACGAACGAGCATACTTCACAAAGGCGGAGCAAACGCCATCTTATGACTCGGCACGTCCGTGAGGAGGATTCACATGGTGGGTGGGTGGGTGGGTGGGTGGTGGTGTGTGGGCCTTTGCTCCTTCTCCCCACACAAGGAAAGAGCAAAACAAGGAGATCGTAGTTTGGCTCAGCGAACGCATCCCCCCCCACCTCGGAGGAAGCCCACCAAACACCCACACACACCAGTACACCAATTGCTGCGGAAAACAATCTACAAAAACTGAGGCATCGCCGTGAACCCACAACGTGGCAGCCGTTAAAGACCCCGCAACCGCCGCTCCCCCTCGTCCACCTTCCAACTTTTCTTGATGTTGTCGCTTGTCTGTTCTTCGATCAAGCACGCAATCCGTTGGTGGTGCACCACAACAACTAACACTGGCGTCCTAGCGCAACAAGACCAAAGCAAATAAAACAGGAGGAGTCAAATACGGGCCAATAGAGCTGCACTTCCCAGACAATACAACAACAAAGACAAATAAGTAAGATACACGCACGCACGTGAATTATAAAGCCGTACCCACCCAAGCCTTCATGAAACGGAGCAGACTCTCTCCTTTCCCGTCTTTCACCACACTGTTATTCTCGTTTTCACGCATATTCATATTCGTTTTCGGACACATTAATAAAAATATTTATACATAAACACTTGTTAACTCTCCATGGTACATGACCGGAGTAAATACTCCAAGAGAACATATTTGATAAGTGCGTGGGAAGTTCATTATCTCCTCTAGTTTCTTTCTCATTCCGCGTTACCCCAATCCGCAACAACAAAATGTAACGGCATACGAAAGAGGAGTAAAACGTAAAGGACAAAAAAAAGGTAAAATAAAAACATTAATAATAAATCACAAAAAAACAAAATGCTAAAAACATACGAAATCAAAAAAAAAAAAAACACTGGCGAGTTCGTGATTTGGCCATAAAACTCTTTTCTTCTCTTCTACTAGTTGCTTCACTTTCTTTCCGGATACTCAGTAAAAAAAAAAAAAAAAAAAAAAAAAA